TCGATGGGGTTCGACGGTGGGCACGTCAGCTTGCTGTGGAGCGAGAGCTGTAGTCGTGCGCGATCAGACGCACGCCGTGTACCGATAGATGCCGTGTGAAAACAAGCGGGCCGCCTTTCGCCTTGCACCTGGGTCGACGTGCAAAGGAGTGTCGCAACACCATCGTTTGTGCAGGACGTCATCCTGCTTCTAAGTGCTTTGGCACAGGATTGGCAAGGCCAGCTTTTCAGAATCAAACGTTTTCAGAATCGTTGATTGAAATTGTGCGTCTTGGGTGCACCCCCATGCTGCCACAAAGCGATTCGGCTTGTTGATGGTCAAGTAGAAGCACGTTTGTGTTGACTTTGGTTGGACCTTTACGGATCGGATGGGAGGTGGTCGGAAGGTCCCCAGAGCAAAACTCAGCTTTGCCAGGTGAGGACTACGACATCCTTCATCGCAACTGTTGCCACTTCAGTGATATGCTCTGCAGGTCTTAAGCTTACGAACCGTGCATGGCACTGCGTGTTCTTCCGTTCCAGACCGTCAGCCTTCTCCGAGGCTGACGGCAGTGCTTTCTGTGGCAATCAGCCTTTTAAGTTGGATGTGGCGCTAGCAGCAAAATTTTTCCAAATATCAGAAGACAACACTAGACGTTGTAATCCGCTTTGCGGTGCCCTGCAGACGCCTGGGAGTCGGTCCTATACCTGACTGGATCACGAATTTGTCGGGGCCCAAGCCTGGAAGAACCGCGCTTTGCAAGCTGCCTGTAGCATGGCTTGTAGCACGCCCCTGTCAGAGTCTGTGAAAGCCTTATATACCCCCGAACAAGAGCTTGCCATGGCAGGGCTGGCGCCGGCGCCCAGGTGGTGCTTTGGCCTGCAGAGCGAGTCTTTTCCCTTTCGACACTCGTCACCTCACTCCTCAACCTAACTCGTCTGCAGTGGTCCGACCCGACAAACCCGGCTTCCCTTCGTCAGGAAACAGGGTCCGCACCTCAGCGGTGTCGTGTGACCTTCGCCGTGTGCCGAAGAGGATTGTAAGCTTCAGTGTGAACAGGCAGCAGCTTGCATGCCTTGACATACGCACACGTACGTACATACGTACATACGTACATACTTAACATAGTATGTATTTATTCATCAGACATACGTACATACATGCATGGATGCATGCATGCATGCATGCCTGCATGGACAAAGACCTTCGAATACAGCCACATACCTACATATGTATCCAGACACGGTATCCGTCTGTGCGAAAAACCATTCGACTATGGAGTTTTCTGCCTGCCCAGGCTGCGGCATGCTGTCTCAGGAGTGCGAGCAGCCGCCGTCATCGCGGCAGCAAAGGCAAGCGTGAACTGGGCGCCTGCTTCATGGTCGTGAGCCAACTCTTAGACTCAAACCACGAGGGCAATTCAGGGCTTTTAGATGTCGCAGGCCGTGGAGCTGGAGCACGAGCTCGAGCTGGCCATCAAGCAGACAGTCACTGATGGAGTGGAGTCCTTTGCAAGACCATGCTTAAGGTTTGGAGCCGAAGCGACAAGGAAGATTGGTGCAAATCTCGGAATGGGGCTGGGTTGCTGAGGCCACGCACCTGATGGAGCTGGACCAGAGGTGGGCGCGTGGGTGTTAGGCCAGTCTTCTCGTGCGTCTTGCGAATCTTGTTCTCAAGATCTTGCATCCGCAGAAGCCATTTCTTATCACGAAAGCTAGTTCTTCCGGAGTATGCGATGCAAGCACTTTCAAACCTCTGCGGTCTAGTAAATCAAGCGTTAGTCATGTTCGCAGACACCCATAAAGGCCCTGTGACTCCAAACAAGGATAAACCGTTAAGATATAGACCTCCGTTGAAGGTTATCTATCAACATCCCCTTGTCGTTCCTAGTTTTTTTGGGGTTTAACTTGACTCCGAACTGAACGCATGGTTGGGCTTCGCAGAGCGAATTCCTACGAGAACATTTGCAAGTCGGGCCACTTTCGCAGTGCTACTCCTCGGCAAGTTCTTGCAGGTTTCTTGGCGATGATGTGCCTCCATGTAGTTTAACCGAATGGTCCTGCCGTCCGAAGTGCACCCTTGATCGATGTCCCGAACAGGTTATGGCATCATCTTTCGAGACGCTCTCGATGCCTTTCTGACAGCTGGCGGGAGCAGCAACACGCGGTTTCCGACAATGGAGCAGGTGCAACTTGCTGGGGTATCCTTGTTCAATGCTGCTGCGGAGACGGGTCATGTTGACATCTTTGTCGGCCACTCTTGGAGCGCGGGGCGCTGGTCAAAGTTCCTGGCGCTTTGCTTGCGACTTGTCTCCGTCTTGGAGGAATGGAAACGATGGGCAGTCACAACAGGGGCAAAATCCCTTCTCTGTGGGCTTCCTCATTTTTTCGAGAAGCCCAGTTCAAAGCGCAACCCAGACTTACTCCTCGATCTCAAGACCACCTTGCTAAGAACCCTCTTTGGAATTGCAGTTGAGTCATCCCATAAATTCAGACCGCAACACGGCATGGTGCCACAAAACGGTCATGGCTTCATGCAGCAACCAAGACTGTGTTCGGCCCGAAGGCACGGGGCAGCAGCACAATCCTTGCCTGCACCTAGCCAAAACTGGATCAATGGATCAACCGAGGTTCTTCAATCTGGACATGGCAATCTGCTGTGCTTTTGGTGCCTGGCTTATTGTGGCAGCTACACTGCTTGGGTGGGGTGGCATTACCAGCCTCGGTGGGAGCTACCTCGCACTGCCCTGCCTTGTCTACTTTCCCATGACCGTCTTTTTCGTCGTTTTCATTTTCGGACAGCAGCTCTTCGAGGGGCGACTACCTCCTGCACTTTGGGTAGATAAGCTCTGCATCCATCAAACAGACATGGATCGGAAGGCAGAACAAATAGCAGCTCTCCCTGTCTTTGTGATGCATTCTTCTCGCATGCTAATTCTGTGGGATGATACTTACTTCGAGAGATGCTAGATCCAGTTTAGCAATCCTTTTTACTTTTCGTGGTGTGGGTTCCCGAATATTTTTTCAAGGGACCCCCATGTCTTTTTCTTTCCTTGCTGCGAACAGAGACCCAGGGAAATGGTGCTCCCTAGAGCTGGCGACATTCGCACGACATGTAGGTACAGAGAAGATCGATGTCTTGCCGCTGTGGTTGGCTCCATGGCTGCTGAGTTCAATCCTCCTGGATTTGTTGAGCGTCACCCTCTACGAGTTCCTGGCACACTGTTTTCCCAATTGGAGCGTAGCCTGGACCAACCCTCTGATGGAAGCAGCAGAGTCACTACTAGGAGAGAATCCTGCAACGCTGAAATTCGTGGCGGTTTTCACAATCTGGCTGTTTTCAAGCATCTCTTATGCACCGTCTTCTTTCCCGAGCTCCTTCTCTTTCTGCATGAAGTTACGAAACCATCAGTTGATGCTACAGCAAATGGCTAATTTCGATGTCAGAGCAGCAAAATGTACTCTGCCATCTGATGCTAAAGCAATCGAGCAGCAAGTGGAGGACTTATTCAAGGACGATGTTGTGGAACGGAGACCTCAGCAGATGGGTGGTGATGTTGACAATGGGGAGGCCGCTTGGGTCATGCGCATGCCGTCTAGGATGTAGATGTTACTGTAGCAATTTGTCTTCCGATTTTTTCAACTGCATCCTGCGACCCTGTCAGAAGTCTCAGATGTTGTCCAATGTCAGGTCTGTGTTCCCATGCGATATCACGGTTGGCAAGGATCCTCGCCCGATGTCTTCGGTGATCCGCTGGGGCGTTTCAACGCGTACGTCCGGGGCACACTGAGAGAGTTTGTGATTTCGCAGATCGGCGACGAGCTTTATGTGTCATGGCGGACCTGTCTGATTGCCTACTTGCCGATGATTTTCTACTCCACGGTGAATGTCTTGGGCTGCGACAACGGGCCTTGTGATCAGTCTGCAGCATTGGCTGGCTACCAGTCGACGTCTACCTACATGCTCACCTCCATGGTTGGATGGATAATCAACATTGCGCTGGCGTTCCCGCTGACATACCCAGTCCTACTTCGTATGGTCAAATTCGCAATGTCGCATGGCGATGGTTCATTGCAGCTCTGTGCTGCTGTCCTTTTCTGTCCACTGGCTTTCTTCTACAATTACATCTGGGGAAGCTTAGTGCTCGCCTCGCTTGTGTGCGTGGTACAGAACTATTCGCCGACACAGCTGCTGGTGTGCTTCCTAGTCCTTGCCGTACTTTTGGCACAAGTTATTTGGCTTTTTTCCAGTGGCACGCATCAGGACAGCAGCCAGCTGTCGTGTCGCTGTGTAAAGCGGCAGGCCGCTGCCTACGAGGCACTTGGCAACACCGGTAGTGTTGCATGACTCTGACAAAACTTCTTCGACGGCAGCCTAGACTAGGAATTGCGGCAGGTTCGATCGCAGTCAGGCTTGGTCGTGTTGCAGTTTGTAGTGGCCATGTGTGTCCACGTTGGCCAAGCCATCCGTCGGGCTAGCATGGTCCTCAGTTCAGCCAGATACGCAAGGAAAAAGTGCGTGCGCATGTGCGCGTCGGTGGAGTTTCTCTTGCAGCAGTTTCCTCAAACCTCAGTCTCGGTCCCGCCCAGCCGGTACTCACGGCAGTGGTTGCAGATCGAAGCTATTTCCGTATTTTCGGCCCCCTGACACTCGGCCCTTGAAATCTGAACCGCCAAGGATATCATTCCCTCAAAAATCCCCATGAGAAGCCTTACAGCCTCTTGTGAAGAAGGTACGCGATCAGTGAGTCGGCTTCGGAAATCGCCTGCAATGCAGGCTGGTGCTGCTCAAGCGAGCTTGCAAGGGCTCCTGTCACCGATCGCCCAGCCATCACGCGTGCCTTTACATGTGCCTTCTACGCTTGCCGTCTGCTGCTGATGCCAGGTGACATGGTTCGAGCGGCCGCCGATGCCGTCGAGCAGGCCGGCAGTGTCTGCCGAAACAAGTGCTGCACTTCTTCCTTTCCAGTGTTTGTCTGCCAGTGTCAGCAATCAGCGAAAGATGAGGTGAATGATGCTACGTCCACTGTGGTCCACAAGGCCCAAGAGAAGTCTTGTGCTGTTAAATCCTAGCCTGGTGTTCTTCACAGGTCCCGCATAGCATACTTGGCATGTTCATCTGGGCTGTCGTGGAGGGGACTTCGCTTTCCGCTTTCACAACACGTGTCTGTACTGCGAGCCTACGCGAGCGAGTACACTTCCGGAGTCTTCGATATGACGAGGCCACGCGAGTTTCATGCCTAGCTCGCGCCATCTCACCTTCGGCCAGAGGTGACCGAGGCGGCCATCCACCGCTCGGCGAACCTGGTCGGAGCCCTGGGTGCCAGAGCCGCTGGGGTGACGAGGGATGGGAAACTTAGGTTTCAGATGGATGCAGGATCCGGGAAGTGTATGCTCACAGAGATTGCATGCCAGGGCTTGCAAGAATCGTTACATTGACATGTTTTCCAAGACCCGCAACCCTGTCAGCTGTTTGCATGAAGTCTCCGCGGCCGCGGATGTGTTCAGAAGTTTACTTGTGTCAGAAGACTTCCGTGAAAGGAGCGTCTTATTGTTAACAGCATTTAGAGTTTTCGAACAGGATGAAGCGAGAAACTCGCAGTTTTCACGTTTCATCGCATTTGTGTTTTGCGTTCGCTTCCTGCGCTTCATCCCCTTGGTTCCTTTGCGTTGCCTTGGTTTCCCTTGACGCCCAGGCCTGTGATGCGATGACACAGGTGTGCCTGCTGGAAATCGATCTGATCGATTCTTCAAGTCTCAGGCCGAGAGGTAACCTATCCTGTGGGTGACCACAGATGACCACGTTGTAGGGTTCTTTGCGGTTTGGTGTGCAGGCCACGATGGTCGATGGTGCACAAGCAATGCATGCTGTGCTTGCTGCACTCAGCAGCTGCCTGTGTAGTCAAAAGTATGTGACGGAAAGCATTGAGCAGATGGAGCGTGTGACATCTGCCAGGTTGCCCGGGCTGCTCCGCCGATCGACTCCTTGGGGTACATGTGCCGCTTGACGAAACGGTTCGAACTGCGGGGTTCACTTTGGGGATCCTTGGGGCGAAACTTCGAAGATTGCGCCCGGGCTTGAGGCATGAGGGTGACTGGATATGCTCAGGGTGCGTGGGATGTGCCCAGCAAGTGTATGTCACTAGTCATGACTCTCAGAGATTGTTTGCCGGCTGTCAAAGGTCTCGGAACCCGGAAGCCAGGCCAAGGGGAGAGGGTTGCAGACCAGGATGAAGGGATCAGGGGAATGCCATTAGACTGATTGCAAAAGAGTGCAGGTGTAGCCGAGTTCTCGACCACCTTTCCAATCGCCTGCATTTGCAGCCAGGGCGGAAGATCCGCTACTGACCCAGTTGTAGTGCAGCTTTTTGGGCTGCAGTGCGTGCTCGGACATGTGTTTGGGACGGCTGGTATGCGCCTGTGGTTTCTACGGCTGTGGTCGAGGCGAGGATCGAGCTATAGAATGGGAAGTATATCGAATTGAAGGGTGACTGCACTTGAGTCGAGTGAAGCCAACGTGGGCAGTATCCTTGAAAGGAGAAGCATGGGACCTTTAGAGTTATGACGGCGAAGACCAGTCGACTTACCACCTGTATGACACTCTGCGCTTATCAGTGTCGGCAGCAGTCGCATTTGCAGTTGTTGAAGTTGCAGCTGTGGTTGCTAGTTGCACGGCTCCAGTACCAGACCCTCACGATATAATTCTGTCGATGGGGGTACGTAGACAAGATCGGACTGCAACGAGTCAGAGATGCGCACATTTGGGTTGACCAGCCGTGGAAACTGGTGGCCTACTGCTTGTGCAAGCGGCCTCTCTCTCTCTCTGTGTGTGTGTGTGCGCGCGCGCGTGTGTTATATATATATATATGTGTGTGTGTGTGTGTGTTTGTTGAGTGAATGAGGATGTGAGTGTCGTACTGATGCGTCCATGTTTTGGAGATCAGGAGGGTCTGCCGGCATGTGCCATGCTTGATAATGTTGTCTCACGTGTTGCGTGTCTCGCGAGGGCAACGGGCGAAGTCCGTCGTCCTTGAAATAGGTCGGGAACTGCAGGATGATGCCAAACTTCCGAAGGGGTGCATGTTTCGCATTCGGTTGACGTGCTGGATGCGGCGTTGAGCATCTGCCTGCTGCTCCCTGCATAGTTTTAGTTTAGAAAGATGCAGTGCACAAAAGGCCGGTAGAGCAACGCAGGCAACCGAGACTGGCCGACTTCACCGTGAGCTTGAGCCCTTGCTTGGCCCAAGCCTGGTATTTTTCGCAGGCCTCCTGGCCCAAGCTTGGGACACGGGGTCACACCACTCCAAGAAAATGCCGTAGCCTGTCAATCGGCCAGGAGCTTAAACTTGTAGACGGGGACTGTCGTGGCGTGCGGCTGGTTATCACTACTTCAGATCCTTCAAGTCTAGTACATGCGCCACGACAGTCCTTTCTCTCAAATTTTGGTCCTCAGCCACAGCCGAGAAACGGGGTTGCCGAGGTGCCCTGTGCTCTGCCACACTTGACGATGTCTCCTAGGGCGTTCCAGGACGTGCCCCCGAGAGTCCGTGCCTAGGTTTCCTCCACATGCTGCGCAATGCAAAGCCCTCGGATTCGAGCTGGATGTTTGCAGGCTGCTGGGTAAGTTTAGATTCATGACCCACGTGGGATGGAAGGCTACAGTAGGTGCTAGGCCAGGCGCTGTGAAGCATCTAGATTCGACAAGGCAAAGCCTAAGAAACCTCAGAGCTTCGAAGCTTTGGCCTTCTGGGATCTCAAGCTTAAGGCGGCGGCTGGGCCTTGGCAGTGCCTGGCTGGCTGCGGCACTGCAGGTGTGTTCTCTGCGCAATGATGAGGACAGGCGGAGTTTTCTCAGGGAGGCCAGCAAAAATTGAACGCGCAGCAACAAACCGTGCTGGTGTCTGCGAGCAGGAGCAGCAGTGGCATCTGGAGCGGCTCGGCTCTGGGAGACCAGTGGAGTGGAAAACCCCAGACCCGTGCATCGTCTATGTCTATGTTTTCTTCCACCGAGTTCGAGCTCGGAAATGGCCCCACCTGGTGCCACACAGGCAGGGGCTGCAGGGGTAGGGTTTGGCTGCGCCGGGGCATTTGCCTTACGAGGGGGTCTGGGAATGGAACTGCAGCAGGTGCCGCATCTTTTGTGTTCAGTGAGTGTTTGGTGTCTTACTGATAGCGCCGGATCCAGAAGTGTAATATGCCCTGACACGCCACACCCGAAAGTCGAACGTCTCAAGCTCTCAACTGCCGGAACTCAAGACAGCCCAACAGCCGACGGGCTTTCAGGAGGATTCGAAGCCATTCGGCTTCCTGGAACCCGAGCCGAAGGACATGGGGGAAATAGGGACTTGCAGGGCCGGGTGGGCGAAGTTTCAAAATCAAATCCAGCAGTAGTCCCGAGTCGCCCAGTCCCTGGGCAGATGCTGGCAGGACATGCAGGAGGTCCAGCTCTTTGCCTCCGCCCTTGTTGGGGGCGGCGAGCGCGGTGAAGTGCTCAGAGTGCTCAGCCCGGAGTTGCAGCTGCCGGAGAAGATTGCAAGCGGAGCAGGAAAGCCTCTGCGGATAGGAGGATTTTGCGTGGTTGAGCCTGAGGTGGTCAGGTCAACGAGACCCTTGCTGCTGATCCAGGCAGGGTGAGGGTGCAATGGTGCAATGTCGCCAACTTGCTTCTTTGATGTGATCGTGGCTTGGCTGTGGGGCAGCCATAGGCAGCCTAGGTTTAGTTCCAATGCCCCACATTTCAGACGGATCAGGAGCATCGCAAGAGACTTTTTTGCCTTCAGCGCAAGCTTCTGCCTGCCCAACACAGCCGAGTGTTAGGCTCCGCAGCAGCACTTCTGCAAAGCCTCGCGGGCGAGCTGCGCATGGCCAATGATGGCAGTGACCGTCGACCAGCCTCCTTTTCCGCGGTCGGGAAACTGTGGCGGAATGAACAGGGCGGGATGCACAGCTTGTGACGCAAAGAGTTGCTTTTCAAAGCAGAGATGCCAGGCGACCTGCAAGCATACAACCACCTGCTGGAGCTCCATTTCCAGGCGACTCGGCTGTGTCTCTCAACAGCTACAGCCAAGTGTGGTGTGTGGTGGCAGGAGCGAAGTGACACAAATCACGCCAGCCTTTCGCGGGCCCGACTCTCGGTGAAGGGTCGCGGGATGTCGGGTTTCTGCGAGCACGCTGCCTGTCGCCATGTAGCGCAGGGTCACAGGTTCTGCAAATATGAAACCTATCGCTGCGTGGAATGTGGAGGCGAGCAAAATCGCATAAGATGCAGGCCATCGAATTTCGAATTGATTTGCTTTGATTTTCCTGGAAGAAAATGATGCTGCAAACATCACCAGCTAGGCATGGATGTCAGTAGCATCTGGTAATTCCAGGCTTAAGGTGTCAGCCGCATCATGAAGGAGAATGGTCGGAAACGTAGCCATGTTGATCACTGTCAGCTTGTGCTGTTGAGGGCGTCATTTGGCAGCTGGCTGACGACATCCGCAGGCACCGAGAGATCGTTGCTTGACGAGTGCGAGCTTAGGCACTGGACGGAACTGAGTCCTACTTCCGAGTGCTCTCAATGCTTCGCCTTGGAAAATTTGGCTGTACTAGATTTAGGATGCATTTACCAGGCCGTGTCTAGCACGGCATTGTCGACCTGATGCTCAGTCGGTGACATGTCGGGATGCGGTCAGACCGAGCTTGTCCCTACACCCACAGGATAGAGCGGCTGCGGGCAATGAGCGCAGCCCCTCGACTGAAACCACGGCCGAGCGCTTCCGAGAGTCATGCGAGTCATGCTAATAAGGATGAGCTGGCTGCTGTGCCCGAGGAGGAGGCAAATCCGGGCAGAAAAGCTTAAGCTCCCCGATGATTACATCTGACCTGTAGCGTGACGCCCCTTCCGTGTTCAACCCGAATGCCTGAGCATCCAGGTGCTCAGATTTGCTACAAGTGTTAAGGCCACCCCACTTCCGGGAAGAAGACCTGGGATGCCTTTTTAAAGCCTTCTCCACCTCCTAGCCGGCCAGACCGACAGCTTCGTTCACTTCTTCCGTGGGCTGGCCAAGCAGAAGCACGGAGAAGGATCCCGGGAAGTACTGTAACCGCCAAGACACACATGTACTTGGCTTTCCAGCCAATTTTCACTTCTTCCAAAGACAACGCCTCGCCAAAGAGCGCTGAAGAGCGGAGAGCTGCGGAGAGTGTTTGTCTTGCTGCCGTGGGCACCGCCAGGCCGGGCCGCGCTGGCACAAGGTCTCATGGCGGCGAAGCGCAGAGCTGCAGCTTGGCAGACAGAGCGAGCGTCCTGTCTCTTACTCTTGTGCCAGATAGCAGCTGGGGGTACATGTGATGTATGTGGATCTTGGGTCTTAATATCGGGTAAATACGTGCAGGCTTGCAAGTATGCGGAGATACTGAGCTTTCACACACGCTCGTATGCGTATACATGTAAGTGTTTGCATATACTCATATCGGTCTACATGTACAGAGAGACAGGCATATCTGCCAACATGTGCGTGCTAGTACGTATACACGTATTTATTTTCGGACGTATGCATCAGCATGTGCGTTTATGCATGCACGGTGCCATGGGTGCATGTACATGAGTTTGATTAACATATCATATGTATATATGTATGTATATATGTATATATGTATATATGCAAATATGTAAATATGTAAATATGTATTTATGTATATATGTATATATGTATATATGTACATATGTATATATGTACATATGTACATATATACAAAATACATATATGTATATAATTTATGTGCTTTTGTATGTATGAATATATGTTTATATGTGTATATATGTATATATGTATATATGCATATGTGTATATGTGTATTCGTAGCTGCCTTGATGCCTGTACGCGGTGGCTCCTGGTCCGTAGGCCTGCGTTCCTGCCCTCGATCCCTCTGTCCCGGGTGTCTTGGAGAGGCGGCAGTTGCCGAGGAGTCGGAGGCGGATAGGAAGGAGGCGGTGCAATGTCCATTGTTTGCGGGAGGGATTGGTTTGCACCATACCCCTGCTATGGGTCTGATGGTGTCGGTGACTCTCCGGTTGGCGCTGCACCAAAATGTGGTGATATTGCAACACCTCCTTCTGGCCTTCCTCCTCGACTCGGCGGGGACTTAGGAGGTCCAGACGGTCTGGTTCGTGTTGCCATGGCACGACCGAAAGCACGTCTCAAAACTGCATCCGCTGACTGTGCTTCCTCCTGTTTCCACCTGTCGAAAGCACAGTCCACAGCTTCGATTCCGTCTTTCACCTGTTCTTCCTCCACAAGTGGGGTCTCCCCAGTGACAACTGCCCCGGCATGTGCCTGGGCAATTGCAGCTTCCTGGATGTCCTTCTCCATTGTCCTGCAGGAATCGCTGTCTTTCCTGCATAAGTCTCTGCTTCATCTTGTGCTGGTATGCTTTCCACTAGGAACGAGCCGTGGCTAGAGCTGCCTTGGCCTTGCTCAAGCGGGTCTCTGCTTTCGTGCCTGATTGACAGACTTCTGGAAATCTTGCCGATATCCATCGTCGTCGTCCTCTGCCTTCGTTCGCTGTGCTGTCGTTTGAACTCCGAGAGCTGTCCCATCGTAGCTTGGAAGGGCGGCCGCCTTGGCTTTCGCTTTCGGCTCTGCACGCCATGGCGGGGTGCTCCGGTTGTCCGGCGACCATGCGCCACGCCAATACTGCCAAGGCAGCCATGGCAGTCCATCAGCTCGTCCCATGACCTGTCGTTTCTTCCAGGTATTGAGTGTGCGCCGTAATGGCTGTCCGGCGCCTGACCCGTGGTGCAGGTCCAAGAGCAACCGTGCTCTCACACTGAGAGGCTGATGTCGATCTGATGTCGTCTGCGAGCCCTTCTCGCCCGGGATCTGGGATCTTCGCTGCCGCAAATGGCGATGCCAGTTCGGGCTGCTAAGTGCCGTTTCGGCACTATAGTCGGCACGAATGAACCATACGTGCCTGGGGCTGTATTGGCGTGTCCTGAGCCCTCTCTCTCTCTCTCTCTCTCTCTCTCTCTCTCTCTCTCTCTCTCTATATATATATGTATATGCATGTATATGTATGTGTGTATAGATGCAGATATGTATTCGTTTATTTAGATGTGTATCTA